AAGACAAAATTTATTAAGAGCTACAAAGGAGAGGAAGTTGTGGAGAGCCATGATCACCAACGTCCTGAAGAGACACAGCACATAGAAGATGAAGAATGAGCTTGAGTAAATGGATAGCAGAACAGGGTTTAGGAGAAATAAGAAAAAGACAAAATTTATTAAGAGCTACAAAGGAGAGGAAGTTGTGGAGAGCCATGATCACCAACGTCCTGAAGAGACACGGCACATAGAAGATGAAGAATGAGCTTGAGTAAATGGATAGCAGAACAGGGTTTAGGAGAAATAAGAAAAAGACAAAATTTATTAAGAGCTACAAAGGAGAGGAAGTTGTGGAGAGCCATGATCACCAACGTCCTGAAGAGACACGGCACATAGAAGATGAAGAATGAGCTTGAGTAAATGGATAGCAGAACAGGGTTTAGGAGAAATAACAAAAAGACAAAATTTATTAAGAGCTACAAAATGGAGTTGTGGAGAGCCAGAACAAAGAGACACGGCACATAGAAGATGAAGAATGAGCTTGAGTAAAAAGCAGAACAAGGAGAAATAACAAAAAGACAAAATTTATTAAGAGCTACAAAAGGAGAGGAAGTTGTGGAGAGCCATGATCACCAACGTCCTGAAGAGACACAGCACATAGAAGATGAAGAATGAGCTTGAGTAAATGGATAGCAGAACAGGGTTTAGGAGAAATAAGAAAAGACAAAATTTATTAAGAGCTACAAAGGAGAGGAAGTTGTGGAGAGCCATGATCACCAACGTCCTGAAGAGACACGGCACATAGAAGATGAAGAATGAGCTTGAGTAAATGGATAGCAGAACAGGGTTTAGGAGAAAAAAGAAAAAGACAAAAATTTATTAAGAGCTACAAAGGACAGGAAATTGTGGAGATAAAAATCGCCAATGTCCTGAAGAGTTTAGAAGAAAAAGAATGAGCTTGAGTAAATCAGAACAGGGGTTTAGGGAGAAATAAGAAAAAGACAACATTTATTAAGAGCTACAAAGGACAGAAAATTGTGGAGAGCCATGATCGCCAACGTCCTGAAGAGACATGGCACATAGAAGATGAAGAATGAGTTTGAGTAAATGGATAGCAGAACAGGGTTTAGGAGAAATAAGAAAAGACAAAATTTATTAAGAGAAACAAAGGACAGAAAATTGTGGAGAGCTATGGGAAGGCCAACGTCCTGAAGAGACATGGCACATAGAAGGAAGAATGAGCTTGAGTAAATGGATAGCAGAACAGGGTTTAGGGAGAAATAAGAAAAAGACAAAATTTATTAAGAGCTACAAAGGAGAGGAAGTTGTGGAGAGATGATCACCAACGTCCTGAAGAGACACGGCACATAGAAGACAAAGAATGAGCTTGAGTAAATGGATAGCAGAACAGGGTTTAGGAGAAATAAGAAAAGACAAAATTTATTAAGAGCTACAAAGGACAGGAAATTGTGGAGAGCCATGATCGCCAATGTCCTGAAGAGACACGGCACAAAGAAGACAAAGAATGAGCTTGAGTAAATGGATAGCAGAACAGGGTTTAGGAGAAATAAGAAAAAAAGACAACATTTATTAAGAGCCAAAGGACAGGAAATTGTGGAGAGCTATGATCGCCAACGTCCTGAAGAGACATGGCACATAGAAGACGAAGAATGAGCTTGAGTAAATGGATAGCAGAACAGGGTTTAGGAGAAATAAGAAAAAGACAAAATTTATTAAGAGCTACAAAGGACAGAAAATTGTGGAGAGCCATGATCGCCAACGTCCTGAAGAGACATGGCACATAGAAGATGAAGAATGAGCTTGAGTAAATGGATAGCAGAACAGGGTTTAGGAGAAATAAGAAAAAGACAAAAATTTATTAAGAGCTACAAAGGAGAGGGAATTGTGGAGAGCCATGATCACCAACATGAAGAGACACGGCCATAGAAGATGAAGAATGAGCTTGAGTAAAGAGAACAGGGTTTAGGAGCACAAAAGACAAAATTTATTAAGAATGAGCAACATTGAAGAGAAATGGATAGCAGAAATGAGGGTTTAGGAGAAATAGGAGAAAAGAAAAGACAAAATTTATTAAGAGCTACAAAGGAGAGGAAATTGTGGAGAGCCATGATCACCAACGTCCTGAAGAGACACGGCACATAGAAGATGAAGAATGAGCTTGAGTAAATGGATAGCAGAACAGGGTTTAGGAGAAATAAGAAAAAGACAAAATTTATTAAGAGCTACAAAGCACAGGAAATTGTGGAGAGCCATGATCGCCAATGTCCTGATAGAAGACGAAGAATGAGCTTGAGTAAATGGATAGCAGAACAGGGTTTAGGAGAAATAAGAAAAAGACAAAATTTATTAAGAGCTACAAAGGACAGAAAATGGCTATGATCGCCAACGTCCTGAAGAGACAGCACATAGAAGATGAAGAATGAGCTTGAGTAAATGGATAGCAGAACAGGGTTTAGGAGAAATAAGAAAAAGACAAAATGTATTAAGAGCTACAAAGGATAGGAAATTGTGGAGAGCCATGATCGCCAATGTCCTGAAGAGACACGCACATAGAAGACGAAGAATGAGCTTGAGTAAATGGATAGCAGAACAGGGTTTAGGAGAAATAAGAAAAGACAAAATTTATTAAGAGCTACAAAGGATAGGAAATTGTGGAGAGCCATGATCGCCAATGTCCTGAAGAGACATGGGCACATAGAAGACGAAGAATGAGCTTGAGTAAATGGATAGCAGAACAGGGTTTAGGAGAAATAAGAAAGAGACAAAATTTATTAAGAGCTACAAAGGAGAGGAAGTTGTGGAGAGCCATGATCACCAACGTCCTTAAGAGACACGGCACATAGAAGACAAAGAATGAGCTTGAGTAAATGGATAGCAGAACAGGGTTTAGGAGAAATAAGAAAAAGTCAAAATTTATTAAGAGCTACAAAGGACAGGAAATTGTGGAGAGCCATGATCGCCAATGTCCTGAAGAGACACGGCACATAGAAGACGAAGAATGAGCTTGAGTAAATGGATAGCAGAAGAGGGTTTAGGAGAAATATGAAAAAGACAAAATTTATTAAGAGCTACAAAGGAGAGGAAATTGTGGAGAGCCATGATCACCAATGTCCTGAAGAGACACGGCACATAGAAGACGAAGAATGAGCTTGAGTAAATGGATAGCAGAACAGGGTTTAGGAGAAATAAGAAAGAGACAAAATTTAAGCTACAAAGGAAGGAAGTTGTGGAGAGCCATGATCACCAACGTCCTAAGAGACACTACATAGAAGACAAAGAATGAGCTTGAGTAAATGGATAGCAGAAGAGGTTTAGGAGAAATAAGAAAAAGGCAAAATTTATTAAGAGCTACAAAGGATAGGAAATTGTGGAGATGATCACCAATGTCCTGAAGAGACACGGCACATAGAAGATGAAGAATGAGCTTGAGTAAATGGATAGCAGAACAGGGTTTAAGAAAGAGACAAAATTTATTAAGAAGAAAAGGACAGGAAGTTGTGGAGATGTATGATCACCAACGTACAAAGACACAGGAATGAATTGAGTAAATGGATAGCAGAACATGATAGGGAGAAATAAGAAAAAGTCAAAATTTATTAAGAGCTACAAAGGACAGGAAATTGTGGAGAGCTATGATCGCCAATGTCCTGAAGAGACCCGCACATAGAAGACAAAGAATGAGCTTGAGTAAATGGATAGCAGAACAGGGTTTAGGAGAAATAAGAAAAAGACAAAATTTATTAAGAGCTACAAAGGACAGGAAATTGTGGAGAGCCATGATCGCCAATGTCCTGAAGAGACACGGCACATAGAAGACAAAGAATGAGCTTGAGTAAATGGATAGCAGAACAGGGTTTAGGAGAAATAAGAAAAAGGCAAAATGTATTAAGAGCTACAAAGGACAGGAAATTGTGGAGAGCCATGATCGCCAATGTCCTGAAGAGACACGGCACATAGAAGATGAAGAATGAGCTTGAGTAAATGGATAGCAGAACAGGGTTTAGGAGAAATAAGAAAAAGACAAAATTTATTAAGAGCTACAAAGCACAGGAAATTGTGGAGAGCCATGATCGCCAATGTCCTGAAGATACACGGCACATAGAAGATGAAGAATGAGCTTGAGTAAATGGATAGCAGAACAGGGTTTAGAGAAATAAAAAAAGACAAAATTTATTAAGAGCTACAAAGGACAGGAAATTGTGGAGAGCCATGATCGCCAATGTCCTGAAGAGACACGGCACATAGAAGATGAAGAATGAGCTTGAGTAAATGGATAGCAGAACAGGGTTTAGGAGAAATAAGAAAAAGACAAAATTTATGAAGAGCTACAAAGCACAGGAAATTGTGGAGAGCCATGATCGCCAATGTCCTGAAGATACACGGCACATAGAAGACGAAGAATGAGCTTGAGTAAATGGATAGCAGAACAGGGTTTAGGAGAAATAAGAAAAAGACAAAATTTATTAAGAGCTACAAAAAGGAAATTGTGGAGAATGATCGCCAATGTCCTGAAGAGACACGGCACATAGAAGATGAAGAATGAGCTTGAGTAAATGGATAGCAGAACAGGGTTTCATTTATTAAGAGCTACAAAGGATAGGAAATTGTGGAGACATGAAAATGTCCTGAAGAGACACAAGGCACATAGAAGATGAAGAATGAGCTTGAGTAAATGGATAGCAGAACAGGGTTTAGGAGAAATAAGAAAAGACAAAATTTATTAAGAGCTACAAAGGATAGGAAATTGTGGAGAGCCATGATCGCCAATGTCCTGAAGATACACGGCACATAGAAGATGAAGAATGAGCTTGAGTAAATGGATAGCAGAACAGGGTTTAGGAGAAATAAGAAAAAGACAAAATTTATTAAGAGCTACAAAGGATAGGAAATTGTGGAGAGCCATGATCGCCAATGTCCTGAAGAGACACGGCACATAGAAGATGAAGAATGAGCTTGAGTAAATGGATAGCAGAACAGGGTTTAGGAGAAATAAGAAAAAGACAAAATTTATTAAGAGCTACAAAGGATAGGAAATTGTGGAGAGCCATGATCGCCAATGTCCTGAAGAGACACGGCACACATAGAAGATGAAGAATGAGCTTGAGTAAATGGATAGCAGAACAGGGTTTAGGAGAAATAAGAAAAGACAAAATTTATTAAGAGCTACAAAGGATAGGAAATTGTGGAGAGCCATGATCGCCAAATGAAGCAGAAAGAGACACGGCACATAGAAGATGAAGAATGAGCTTGAGTAAATGGTCAGAACAGGGTTTAGGAGAAATAAGAAAAAAGATAAAATTTATGAAGAGCTACAAAGCACAGGAAATTGTGGAGAGCTATGATCGCCAATGTCCTGAAGATACACGGACATAGAAGACGAAGAATGAGCTTGAGTAAATGGATAGCAGAACAGGGTTTAGGAAAAATAAAAAAGACAAAATTTATTAAGAGCTACAAAGGATAGGAAATTGTGGAGAGCCATGATCGCCAATGTCCTGAAGAGACACGGCACATAGAAGATGAAGAATGAGCTTGAGTAAATGGATAGCAGAACAGGGTTTAGGAGAAAAAAAAGACAAAAATTAAGAGCCACAAAGGATTTATGGAGAGCTATGATCGCCAATGTCCTGAAGAGACACGGCAAAGAAGATGAAGAATGAGCTTGAGTAAATGGATAGCAGAACAGGGTTTAGGAGAAATAAGAAAAGACAAAATTTATTAAGAGCTACAAAGGAAGGAAATTGTGGAGAGCCATGATCGCCAATGTCCTGAAGATACACGGCACAAGAAGATGAAGAATGCTTGAGTAAATGGATAGCAGAACAGGGTTTAGGAGAAATAAGAAAAAGACAAAATTTATTAAGAGCTACAAAAGGATAGGAAATTGTGGAGAGCATGATCGCCAATGTCCTGAAGAGACACGGCACATAGAAGATGAAGAATGAGCTTGAGTAAATGGATAGCAGAACAGGGTTTAGGAGAAATAAGAAAAAGACAAAATTTATTAAGAGCTACAAAGGACAGGAAATTGTGGAGAGCCATGATCGCCAATCTCCTGAAGAGACACGGCACATAGAAGATGAAGAATGAGCTTGAGTAAATGGAGAACAGAACAGGGTTTAGGAGAAATAAGAAAAGACAAAATTTATTAAGAGCTACAAAGGAGAGGAAATTGTGGAGAGCCATGATCGCCAATGTCCTGAAGAGACACGGCACATAGAAGATGAAGAATGAGCTTGAGTAAATGGATAGCAGAACAGGGTTTAGGAGAAATAAGAAAAAGACAAAATATATTAAGAGCTACAAAGCACAGGAAATTGTGGAGAGCCATGATTGCTAACGTCCTGAAGTGACACAGCACAGAATAATTAAGAAATAATATTGGATCAAGGAGCTTAACGAGAAAATACAAAGGAAAATCTATTTTTTTTAAAAAACATGAAATATATTTTTTTAAGAAATATTAAAAACTTACAGCGTCTTTGAGAATCTCTTCCTGGGAATAAATATGAGGTCGGTGTCCTCGTTCATTATCAATAACAACACCATAACTGCAAGAGAAATAAACACAATTATTATTATTATTATTATTATTATTAATATTGGTCTAAATTTACGTTCAAGTGACAACAAGTTTCCTAAATACTCCAGTGCTGTTCAGTTTTTGAGTGATTTCAGTTTTTACAAGTCATTTCTCTAGGGGTTTTTGAACTTATTCCCAGTGTTCTAATAACAACCAGCATGACAGGTAATTTGAAAATACTTATCTCTTTTCACATTCTTCCTGACGTCATGAACAGTAAAATCTATTTTCAGGCAGATTTCGTAATTGTTCACTAATTATCATTCTGGTCTGGTCATAATTGTTGCTTTTATTTTTTATTATTATTGTTGTTGTTATAATTGTTATTACTGCTAATTGTTCTAGTTGCAGTTGTTGTTATTGTTATTTTATTATTATCATTATGTTGTTATTGTTTTTATTATTGTTGTTTTTGTTAGTGCAGTTGTTATTATTGTTGCTGCTTTTGTTAATTGTTGCTATTATTGTTATTATGGTTGGAATTTTGTAGCTGTTATTGTTGTTTTGTTGTTGATATTAGTTATAATTTTTGTTGTGTTACTGTTTTTGCTATTATTGTTACTGTCATTGTTATGAGTGTTATAATTTTGTTGTTTTCAATGTTGTTATTGTTTTTAATATCATTATTATTATTATTTTATCTATTATTATGGTTGTCATTGCTATTGTTATTATTTTTGCTATTATTATGGTTGTCATTGCTATTGTTATTATTTTTGTTATTATTATGGTTGTCATTGCTATTGTTATTATTTTTGTTATTATTATGGTTGTCATTGCTATTGTTATTATTTTTGCTATTATTATGGTTGTCATTGCATTTGTTATTATTTTATCTATTATTATGGTTGTCATTGCTATTGATATTACTTTTGCTATTATTATGGTTGTCATTGCTATTGTTATTATTTTTGTTATTATTATTGTTGTCATTGCTATTGTTATTATTTTTGTTATTATTATGGTTGTCATTGCATTTGTTATTATTTTTGTTATTATTATGGTTGTCATTGCTATTGTTATTACTTTTGTTATTATTGTGTTTGTCATTGCTATTGTTATTATTTTTGCTATTATTGTGGTTGTTATTGCATTTTTATGATTATTTTTTGCTATTATTATGGTTGTCATTGCTATTGTTATTATTTTTGCTATTATTATGGTTGTCATTGCTATTGTTATTATTTTTGCTATTATTATGGTTGTCATTGCTATTGTTATTACTTTTGCTATTATTATGGTTGTCATTGCTATTGTTATTATTTTTGCTATTATTATTGTTGTCATTGCTATTGTTACTACTTTTGCTATTATTATGGTTGTCTTTGCTATTGTTATTATTTTTGCTATTATTATGGTTGTCTTTGCATTTGTTATTATTTTTGCTATTATTATGGTTGTCATTGCTATTGTTATTATTTTTGCTATTATTATGGTTGTCTTTGCATTTGTTATTATTTTTTTATTATTATGGTTGTCATTGCTATTGTTATTATTTTGCTATTATTATGGTTGTCTTTGCATTTGTTATTATTTTTGCTATTATTATGGTTGTCATTGCTATTGTTATTATTTTGCTATTATTATGGTTGTCTTTGCATTTGTTATTATTTTTTGCTATTATTATTATGGTTGTCTTTGCATTTGTTATTATTTTTGCTATTATTATGGTTGTCATTGCTATTGTTATTATTTTTGCTATTATTATGGTTGTCTTTGCATTTGTTATTATTTTTGCTATTATTATGGTTGTCATTGCTATTGTTATTATTTTTGCTATTATTATGGTTGTCTTTGCATTTGTTATTATTTTTGCTATTATTATGGTTGTCATTGCTATTGTTATTATTTTGCTATTATTATGGTTGTCTTTGCATTTGTTATTATTTTGCTATTATTATGGTTGTCTTTGCATTTGTTATTATTTTTGCTATTGTTATGGTTGTCTTTGCATTTGTTATTATTTTTGCTATTATTATGGTTGTCATTGCTATTGTTATTATTTTTGCTATTATTATGGTTGTCATTGCATTTGTTATTATTTTTGCTATTATTATGGTTGTCATTGCTATTGTTATTATTTTTGTTATTATTATGGTTGTCATTGCTATTGTTATTATTTTTGTTATTATTATGGTTGTCATTGCTATTGTTATTATTTTTGTTATTATTGTGGTTGTTATTGCATTTGTTATTATTTTTGCTATTATTATGGCTGTTATTGCTATTGTTATTATTTTTGTTATTATTATGGTTGTCATATCTCCCCCACCCAGTTATTGGTAAATAGCAGCACATATTTGCTCTATCAGCTCTGGCGAGTCACAATAAAAAATAATAAAATATATTAAAAAAATATAAATAATTCAAATTTATTTAAGGCATTTGCTTTCCTTTAAAACCCTTACCCCAGTAGAGTGATCTGTATTCAAAACAGCAGTTACAGAAAATTTGGTTGGAGTGGGGGGGGGATGGAATTTCAATTAAATTTTCAACTTACACATCTGGTGGTCTAATGGCTTTCACTTCTCCCTCATAAAACAATCCGTCTCTGAAAAGTAACACTCTCAGTCCATCGCGGAGGTCCTCTTTTTCAATAGTACAACAACGGGGCTCTGGAAAAATATACACATGATATCATGCACTCAATGACTACATTTACAAAGTATCACATACTGTCAAAACAAAATAAACAACATTTGCTTTATAATTTAATATAAATGAAATTTACGATTAAACTTATACAAGGCCAGTAGTCAAATCCCTAGCAGTTCCAAAATTTTTAAATATATGAACATATTTTTGTTTTGATTCAATCCATGCTATTAAAAGACATGGTAGATGTATAATAAGTGGGCCAGAAGTATTTTGCCTTTATTTATTTGCCTGTGATTTATCTTTATTCGACACCTTTAATTTGACATAATCTTTCTTCATATATGCAACCTATCTCTGTATTTTGTTTACACTTTTTGTAATGCTCATTTGTAGGAGAGACTTTGTAAATCACAAATACAATAATAGTAATGCCTTCGAACAATACTCGGTCAGATGCTACTAATTCCCATACGTATATTTTTCCTTTACCTGTCACATGATCTAATTATTATTTGACTGTGCTTGCTCTCTGGCAGTCCATGTTCAAACCCAAGTGTCAGCAGTGACACTTTATTCCTATATGACATATTTATTTTGCACAAAATTTTTATTTTCTTTTAAAATCACCATTTTTTATGTTCCCTTCACATAAAATCACTCTTAAAAGAAATTAAGGAACCTGAACAATGTAATATTTTGAATACATCACAGTACACATGCTAGAAGAAGAAAAAACTATATGAACAATATACCATGCCCCACATAAGTTTTAATTATGTTTTAATTAGACGATATCAATTGCAATTGAACGAAATGCAAAATTAAAGTTAAACTTTTAAAAGAGAATTGTTTTTTTTTAAATCTTTCTCTGAATTATTAAAATTTAACTATAAATGAGTTATTCATTTAATTTTTAATCACGTTTAACTACACTACCTGTTACTTCCGGTTGTTAAATCAAAAATGGATGGACAGACAGACACACATACACTGCACTTTATTTAGATAGATTTACTTATTTCATTTTATATGAGGGAGAGTTTTGAGGGGGGGAAGATATTGAATTTACCAGAAGAAAATCTGAAATTTTTCTTAAGTTGAATAAAAGCGAAAAAAAAATAAAAACAATGTCACATTACAAGGGGATGAAATCAAGATGAATGTGTGAATGTGATGATTAAATTTTAATTTGGCCTTTACGTACCAGGTGTTGGTGCTTTTTCTCGAAGAACACTGAGTGGAATATTATCTCCATCACTGCTGCTGAAATCACTGCCTTCACCCTCATTCTCACTGAATTCATTTTGGGACGAAGGTCTCTGGAAATGAAACAAAGATTTTGAAAAAAAACATTCTTTTGGGTTGAAAGGAAGGTATCCCTGTTGGCAAGAAGGAAGGGAAAAGTAAAAAAAAAAATCAGGAAATGAAAAGAAAGAAAGAAAGAAAAAAGAAAGAAAGAAAGCAGGTAAAAAAGAAGGAAGGAAGGAAGGAAGGAAGGAAGGAAGGAAGGAAGGAAGGAAGGAAGGAAGGAAAGAAAAAAGAGGAAAGCAAGCAAGAATGAAACAAAGAGAGAAGGAAAGAAAGAAGGAAAGAATCAAAGAAAATAAAAAGAAGGAAAGGGAGCAAGAAAGAAAGAAAGAAAGAAAGAAAAGAAAGAAGGAAGGAAGGAAAGAAAGAAAGAAAGAGAGAAGGAAAGAAAGAAAGAAAGAAAGAGAGAAGGAAAGAAAGAGAGAAGGAAAGAAAGAGAGAAGAATGAAAAAAAGAAAAAGAGGAAAGCAAGCAAGAAGGAAACAAAGAAAGAAGGAAAGAATCAAAGAAAATAAAAAGAAGGAAAGGGAGCAAGAAGGAAAGAAAGAAAGGAAGGAAGGAAGGAAAAAGGAAGGAAGAAAGGAAGGAAAGAAAGAAGGAAGGAAAGAAAGAAAGAAAGAAAGAAAGAAAGAAAGGAAAAAAGAAAGAAAGAAAGAAAGAAAATAAAAAAAGAAGGAAAGGAAAGAAAGGAAGGAAGGAAGGAAAAGGAAGGAAGAAAAGAAGGAAAGAAAAAAAAGAGGAAAGAAAGAAAGAAGGAAACAAAGAAAGAGAAGGAAAGAAAAAAGAAAGAAAAAAAAAAAGAAGGAAAGGAGCAAGAAAAAAAAGAAAGAAAGGAAAAAAAAGGAAAGAAAAAGGAAAAGAAGAAAGAAGGAAGGAAAGAAGGAAAGTAAGCAAGAAAAACAAAGTGAAAGGAAAGAAAGAAGGAAAGAATCAAAAAATAAAAAAGAAAAGAAAGGAATGAAAGAAGGAAAAGGAAAAGAAACAAAGAAAGAAAGAAAAGGAAAAAAATAAGGAAAGAATGAAAGAAGGAAAAAAGAAAGAAACAAAGAAAGAAAGAAAGGCTGGAGTGAAGTCTGAGAAAAACAAAATCCAAATAAAAAGAAAGAAAAAAGTATGGAATGCAAACATTTTGAATGAAAAACTAAAAGAAAGAAAGTATTAAAAAAATACAGGAAGCTGTGAAGGACCATGAATACTCATTTCCTGAAGGCTACACAGATCAATATATCTATAACCAGCATATTGATTTTTGTTTGTTTTTTTTTCATATAAACGTATTAAAATAAAAACATAGCAGATTTTTGAAGAACCAAAGAACTTACTGTAGAATTTGAGTGACAAGAATGATAGGCCAATGATGAAATCTCAGTGACATTAGAGGTAGAAGCTGAAGAGGACATTGTGTTGGTGGTTGTGGTGGTGGTGGTAACTACCGTATGAGCCCTCTGTGGGGAGACGGTCTTTCTGGAAGCCTTTGTTTCTTTCTCCTTACTCTTTTGGACCACTTTTCGCGTGCGGCTTGGTTTTTGTGAATCAGGAGCTGAGAGAGTGCCAGTAGTTGAGGCAGTTATTGAAGACCCAAGTGCAGTTGGCGTTGCAGACCCACTGCTTGTTATATTGTTTGGGTTAGCGCCACTGTTCGAACGACTGATTCGGGTGCTTGTCTTGGTCAGGGTGTTGTTCACACTTGTTCCTGAAGTTGCCAAAGAACCTTGCTGACTAGTATTTTGGGCTGGTCCTCGGATACTATTTGGTGACGGTTGTGGACTGGAATCACTGAGAAATATTCGTTCACTACGACGGATGCACCAGTCCTCCTCCAGATACAGAGGCTTCAGGCGAGTGTCATTGTTAAACTGGGAAGCGAACAAATGAAGAAAACAAATAAATAAATCAGGCATATAAAAAAACAAGGGAAGAAGCAAATGAAAAGAATTTTTGTAATTCTTTTTTCTTTTTTTAATCTTCTTTCAATCCAAGATTTATCTGTAAGACACCTTTTTTAAAAAAAGAAAAAAAAATGGAATTCTGTTGCAAAAATAAACTTTTCAGATACATAGATTATACCAGGCTTGCACAATTAAAAAATATGAAGTACAACATACTCGGCTGACAAGCTCATTAACCATTCCTCAAGGGAGTTTGATCCTCACTAGGTGGCTCAAAAAAATCGTATATTAGTCCGAGTAAGAAATGTTTCGTTTTGGTTGATTAGTGTCTAGTTAACGTCAGCATACTCTAACCATTTATTAGTTATATAGCCAAATAGGGTTTCTTGCCTTGAAATGGCTACCAATCTAGGAGAAGGAAATGCTTCTTTTCTCACACTTCTTGTCTGTGGAAATTTCTTCCAATTTTTTGCTTCCAAGCCACCTAAAATCTTTAAAAATTTAAATGCAGTGCCAATTGTCATTTTCTTTTTCCCTGAAGTCTGTTTTATTATTGTCCTTTCTCCTCACAAAAGTCTTTTTATTCTCTTTCACTCTGTCATCTTGGCATTATTGTTTTGCTTGGAGGGAAATGATTAAAAAAATAATCATAAACCAGCATGAAGAGGGATGGGCTCCGTCAGACTCTTGCCCTAGACACACAACTGCTGCTATGGCTGCAGTACATGTTGCATTGCAGCTCTTCAACTCCGGTGCATTATGGAACTTGCGGCATGATTATCATGAACAAATAGCAAATACTATTATCAGTTTGTCAGTTATGTGCCATGTGTGATACATGCTTAGGCGATCATGTATCTTTCAATACATAACTGACGTAGGTTACCATTTCTTTCTGCAGTAGACTATAAAACCCGGTCTGTCCTGCTATTTACCCATAGCTGGGGGGGGGGGGTGAAGAAGAGGATTCATACCTTTCCCAAGGGTATTAGCACGTAAGTGAATGTAATGAATTCGACTGGAAAGTCATTCAGTCAGTTATGCGCCATGCTTGATACAAGCTTAGGCGATCATGTATCTTTCGATACATGACTAACAAGGCAGATTTTTTCCTGCAGTAGGTTGCCATTTCTTTCTGCGGTAGACCAGTTGCCATCCAAGGCTATAGAACCCGGTCTGTCTTGCTATTTACCCATAGCTGGTGGGAGAAGAATAGGATTCCCAAGAGTATTAGCAAGTAAGTGAATGTAATGGATTCAAATGGAATTTGAACTCGGCTCTCTGATTCCTCAATCCAAGTCATTATCCATGCTGAATTTAAACATGATTAACCTTAAACCCTCTGCATTATTAATATTATTTCTCTTTCCACTGCATTCTTTTGCTCAATTGAAGTATCCTTATTGTTAATTTCACTCAAAGTTGTTTTCTGTTGCCATAGCAGGATATAGCAACACAGATATGAAATTCAAACACAATTGTCCAGGGATGAGAATCACCTTCAGTGGTAGGGTAAACTTTTTGTACACCAAAAGAAGTCACAGACAGAATGATAATGGTTAAATATCAAGTCTAGGGTTAACTGTTAGCTGGCCCCCACCTATCCACATAAACTGTGCCACTGACTATGTAACCCTCTACTACAAGCGGCTCTCTGGCCTTATACAAGGTGAGTCACATTATAAAAAAAAAGAAAACATCAAAAAACAAATAACATCGCCAGTTTTTTTTTTTTCCAGTCTTGATCATGACTAGAATAGACTGCCCAATAAAAAAAATGCCAAGGGTCACATTGATTGCTGAAAATTACCATCAGCTGCAAGAGTAAATTTTTAGAGGGAATTGCATAACGAGATAGAAATGAATGCAAAAAGGGATAGTGAGACGATTCTTTTTCTTTTTCTATGGAAAGTTATCAAAATTAATTTGATACAAAGACAGGGAAATATTCATTGAATGGTAAATTTTTCATATACAATCAGTCACCAAATTTATTCTGATGAACGCAAAAAGAAAAAAAAATAGGTATTTTGAAAACACCACACAGGTAGTGTCTCTGGCTGTATGTGGGCCATAACTTGTGCTGACAAGGGTTATACAATACAAAGTTTCATGTTTATTATTTACACTATTTACATTCAGACTATTGCTATCACAACATTTCGGCCATTGGGCCAACTGGCCTTCGTCAGGTGAATATCAATCAGGATAACCTATAGGGAATTCTGAACTAAACTCCTCATTTAATCTACAAAGAATTTCCTGTGTGTTACCTGGATCAATATACATCTGATGAGCAATAAAAATGAAGAAAATAGCATGCAAATAATGATAGCACCACATCCCAGAAATTCCGGCAGAAGGTGATAATAGCAACAAAGATGAAAGCAATAAACCAAATGAAAACAGTGTAACTAATGATAACACCACATCCCAGAATCACTACATCAATAGATATTTTCGAAATTCTAAAATTTTAATATTTTATAATTTAGATTCCAAATCAATGAACGTTCTTTTATTATTCTTTGAGAAGAGTGCAAATGATCATCTATTTGACATAACCTTTTTTTCTGTTTACTTTTTGACTGAAAGAATCTTTTCATAGACAGAAATGTTTTGATTAGTTTTCAGGCGGCAGGAAGAGAACATTTCGAAAGACAAAGCTCATTGAATAAAAGTAATTAATAAAATATAAATTGAATAAACCAATTAATCCTAAATAATTCACATGAACAATATCAAATTAATTGCACAGCTATGTTCGTTAACAATGAGTGTTAAAGAGATTTAAAAGAAAAGAAAAAGAGGAGAAAAAAATGGAAGATATAACAATGTCAGTTATTTGCTTTGTTCTTCATTAATTTACTCTTTACGCTCTCTACAAATCTCCAATTCTAACTATAAAAAAAACCCCAACTTTTCCAAACAAACAAACCAATCCATGAGATCAGTAACAAACAGGCTCAAGAATAAACCACTGACCAACAATTGTTTGTAACCAACAAACAATAAGAACAAATAAATCTTTTTTAAGAGTCTTCTTTTCTTTGTCTCCCATATTTGAAACTGACTTTTGTTTTCTCTAGACAGTAGAATATGTAGAAATCAATATTTTCATCGTCCTTTTTTTAGCACAAAAACAAGCACTCCTCAACCCCATTTCTAGCTATTGTCTCCCCATTTAAGTTTCATTGTTTTCTTTTAGGTTTGACAAATTTTCAAACAATGTCATCAATTCACTTGGACGCAATAATGATAATTTGCAAAATAATAACTTATTGTCATATAAGGTTATGAAAAAATATATCTTGGGGTTGTTTTTTTTTTTTGTTTTTTTTGCAGTAAAATCATTTCATTAAAACTGCACCCAAATATTCATATACACTTGTGTGAAAACACACACACATGTGTGGCAGGTATGGATACAGACATACGTATAGGCTAAACACACATAACTACATGTCTCTTATATAGACAAACATAGTGTATAGGTATATATATATTTACACACATAGAGATATACAGTCTGGATGTGTAAAAATACTGCCACACGTCAGCAGACATGCAAATATATATATATATATATATATATATATATATATATATATGTATGTATGGGATAACAATATATAAATTGTTTATATATCAAGAACAATTTTAGAGGTAAGATGTATGACAGAGTGGAAAAAGTTCTCATATGATAAATTTCAACCTTAAGGATTTTATTGGACTCATTTTGTTTACATTGATGCGATTACACTGTGTATGAATGAGAGACACTGGGAATTTTAAATTTAAAAATAAGTTTTTTCCTATATGTTATGGGTATATAATCCAACAATTATATATATATATATATATATATATGTATCTATCTATGTGTACACAAAATATGATATATATATTTATAATATATATATATATATATATATATATATATATATATATATATATATATTTATATTAGTATATATATATATATATATATATATATATATATATATATATATATATATATATATATATATATGTAATGTACATATATATATTCACTACTTTATCCGTGACATAAAAATGACAGTGACATTTTATTCATTTTGCTTGCTTATAAAATATAAAAAAGTCAGTATAGATTTTCTTGTTTCAACATCATGATCATTATCTATCTATCTATCTATCTATCTATCGATCTATCTATCTATCTATCGATCTATCTATCTTGTGACTCAAGCGGCTCTTGTTATATATCTGGGTTAAAAGACAGAGGGATATTCATGTATGAGTAGTGTGTCTTGAGTGTCACATCTGGCGGAGACTGTCCCTCCTACAGGTTGAACAACAGCTGCTGTATATCTATCTATCTATCTCTCTCTCTCTCTCTATATATATATATATATATATATATATATATGTTTAGGTTGTTGTGACTAACAAACCCAGTCCTAACGGATTAATTTTTTCATACATCTTTTCTTTTAAAACTGTTCTTGATATTTAAAAATTTATATCCTATATATATATATATATATATATATATATATATATATATATATATATATATATATATATATATATATATATATATATATATATATATATATATATATATATATATATATATATATATATATATATATATATATATATATATATATATATATGTGTGTGTGTGTGTGTGTGTGTGTGTGTGTGTATATATATAAAATGTATGTAAAATAGATTGGGAATTTTGTGCTAAAATCAGATAAATAAAAAAAAATTGCTCAATGCACCATTCAGAAAATTGAACTATAAAAAGCTGAAAATATTTTACCCTTCTTTACAACCCTGTGTGTGTGTGGAAGAACATAATTTATTTAGTTACCTGACGAGAACTCATGGTTGAAACCCGGGTTGAACAGAAGGGTAAAATATTTTCATCTTTTTATCAGTGTGGGGTTAATTGGAATGTACATTACTTTTCTTTTTTTTTTTTAAAAACAAAGCGTTAAGAGGTCATTTGATAAAAA